TTCATGTGAGAGAGAAACATCTATCACTGCCCCCTGCACACCCCCTACTGGGGATCAAGCCCACAACCCAGGCATGTGCCCTGACAGAGAATGGAACCGGGACCTCTCAGTCCATGGGGTGATGCTCAGTCCACTGAGCCACACCAGCTGGGCCCACATTGGCATTTGAAAAGAACTCAGTTTTAATTCTTTTCTTTATATGCCTTCATAATTGTAATTGAAATGGCAAACCTCGCAAGTTCGGTTTCAAGTATAAATTTGCATAGATAATTAACAAGTAAGTGTGATTGGCTAAGTGTCAGTTTTGGGACAGACGGGGTGCCTTTTCATCATCTTTTAAAAGTTCATGGAAAAAACAAGTGACATTGTAATGAGGACAAATGGGTTTGAAAGTGTCTTCCCCAGAGCAGCCTTCAGCCTGGAAATCAGTATGTTATTAATCTGTCAAAATGTCCTGTCCTTTGCTGTTGGTTCATTATCTCATATATTGGACAGTTTTAGGAAACAGCAATTTTGTGTTCTATTCTTTGGGGTATGATCTTGTATTTTTACTTTGTGTGACTTATTAGAATACATTATGAATCATAATAGGTAGAAGGATATACTACTTATTAGTCTTATTGATTAATTTTCTTTAAAGTCCATTTCATACAGGACCACTTGTTATTCCAAGTGGGATAACAGTAAAAAGACACTTTTAGTGATTATGGCCGACAGCAGGTAGGAACCAGGGCTGTTCCAGATGTGGAAAGTAATTTAAGCAATATGGAATGGGGATGTAATGCCCAGCATTGTGAGTGTAGTCAACAGTACTGTATTGTATACTTCGGAGCTGCTAAGGGACTAGCTCAAAAAAGAAAAGGTAATTGTGTTATGCATGGTAGTGTGAGCGAAAGCTACAGTGGTAATCATAGTGCAATACGTAAATGTATCAAATCAACAGGTTGGACACTTTAAACTTACACAAGGTTCCATGTCAGTTATAGCTCCAAAAATAAAAATTTTAAAAGTTAACTAAAGAATACAAAAAAAAAAAAAAAAAAATGTAGAAAAACTTGACTCATGCAAATATAAAAAGAATATGTGTTGAAGATTTCCCTTAACCCACTAATGAATAAGGGACCCAGTACGAAGTTATAACAGGTTTCAAGGAGAATATCTTTATAGTGAAGCGTCGCCACAGTGAACGGACAGATGGATGCAAAGCTGACAAACTCATCAATATCCACAGGACAGCAATCAATTGCATTCCAGAGGACACAATTTGCATTTCTATGGACAAAATATCATTTGCATTACTATCCGTTTTCTTCAGTGTCCCAGTTTAAAATAGCTCAAAGGCAGTTTAAGCTTCACAGGACACCCACTAATTTTTTTGTCTGCATCAAAAGCCTTCACAATTTTCCCTGCACCAGCAAAACTGGCCTGGCCAGACACCCTCGGAAATGTCACAGATTCTCATCATTGTTGCTTCATATGATTTTGGACTTAGCTGCTAATTGCTACTTTGTTAGGTTTTACATTTTTTGTTTTATTCTTGGATAGATTTCTATGTCTGTTCCCTCTTAAAAAGAGGACTTTTACAGCAAAATTACAGTTTTATTTTACAATAAATCAAGCTGCATAGTATTAAGTCCCACTCCTCTTTCTTATTTGAAATTGGCCAGATCCTGACCTGTTGTATTTTGAGGGAAAAAGCTACTTTTTTTCCGTTTTGGTTGCCTACTCTGGGCAGACTGGCAGCATTTTGGCTCCATGAGCCGAGCAGTCTGCAGCTGTTCAAATACTTTGAGCCTTTGGGATTGTGGATTTTGCTTTAAAATCCTTCCCCCACTTAAAAAAAAAAGAAAAGAAAAGAAAAAAAGAAAGAAACTCCTATAGCCAACTGCATCTCCTACTTTTTTTTGAACTGTTGTTTGGTAAGCTGCAGTTATACGTTTGTAACCAGAGGCTGTGTTTATTTTCAGCGTTGGCAGTTCCGCCTAATGAATCAACTGGTATTGAATTCACAAAGGGGATGCCTTTTCCCTCCCTCCATCTGTTTGCCAAATGTGTGTGCTCCCTCAAGTCCTACTAGTGGTTTCACTAAAAAGAGCTATTAGCCAGCCTCGTTCCCACTGAATTCTCAGGCCACTGCCCGAGCAGAGAGGAGTTTCCCCTCATGGCTCCATAGGGGTTGGGTTATTGGTCAAACACCACACTTGTGACTCTAGAGAAAGTGTGATTCTTTATATTTGTTGTTTCAGTATAAAGTTTGGCTCTGCACTACTCATAGCTGCGTTTGGTTCTTGAGCCTTGGCTTGATCTTTCAGGGTGGGTTGTGTGTCTCTGGACTGTAGTGTTGCCATGGGGATTGAAATTAATCAAAAGAAGAGACGAGATCAAGTGAATACTGGTAGGCTATCTACGACTGAGAGCCCATGATGCAGTTGTTTGAATGACGCTATATTTTCAGTAAATCCTTCTTTAATTCTTATTGATGGTAGGGAAGAAGTTGCTTTATTAGCGAAATTTGGAGGTTTCTAAAATTTGTTTTAGTTTTAGGTTTGCACTTTCATGCGTTAGCAGCTTTTTAGGTCAACGCTTCTCAAACTTAAATGTGCACCTGAATCACCTGGGACTTGGTTAAGGTGAAGAATCGGATTCTGTAGGAGTAGGAGTCCAAGATTCTGCATTTCGCTCAAGCTCTGGGCTGTACTATCAGCAGTAAAATGTTCGGTGGAACAGCTTAGTACTTTCTTCGTGGTCTTTGGAGCAATTTGGATAGCAAACGGGTAGACTGGTTTCAGTGGTTTTCAGTAGCAGAACATGAAGTGTAAATATTCGCCTCTGAGTTAGTGTCGAGAACCCAGAAAGGGAGCCAGACAACTTCCCTCCTCTTCCCGAGACAGAGCTTCACATTGTAGGTATGTTATTTTGTTTGAGATTTTGGAAATTCCAGGATATTTACCATAGTGAATATCAAAGCTAGCATTTTTCAAAGCAAATCATGAGTTCTTTGGGGGTTCTGTTACCTGTGTGTGCGTGACAGTGGTTGCATCCTTTTCCCAGTGACATGCCCCACCTCTTGACATATTACATAGGTTTTAAAAAATAATTTATCTTAAATACTATCATATGACTGTTTTAATCTCTCTCTCATGCACTGTGCCACTTCACCTAGCTTACTAAACAGTTTTATCAGAACTGAGTGTCATCCAGGGAGTCTTTGAAGTACTTTAAAATGTTAATACTCTATTTTGACCCAGACAAGGGACAGTGAGCTATTTTTAAATATAAGGCCAGCCTGGCCTGTGTGGCTCAGTGGTTGAGCATTGACCCATGCACCAAGAGGTCGCCAGTTCGATTCCTGGTCGGGGCACATGCCCAGTTTGTGGGCCTGATCTCCAGTCGGGGGCATGCAGGAAGCGGTCAATCAATGTTCTCTCTCATCGATTTTTCTCTCTCTCTCTCCCTCTCCTTTCCTCTCTCTCTAAAAATCAATAAAGAAAAAAAAATTAAATATAAAGCCATTGACCTATTGAGGTTAATGTTGATCAACTCTCTCTCTCTCTCACACCTCACACCTCACACACACACACACACACACACACACACACACACAAAATGAAGGAACCTAATTTAAGCATTACGTTCATCTGTTTTACCATTTTATTTCCCAAAGACGACTTATTTCCCAGAGATTTCTAATTCTTTGAGTTAGTTTTGGAATTTATAGAAAATTTAAACCTTGCATTTAAAGTGAAGAATAAGGATCATGAGAAACAAGTGTTCAATATCTCTATTTTAAAAATGCCAATACTGGTTAACTGAGGGAGGGGAGGATCATGAAGTCAAAATGGCGACAGAGACACATGCTTAGGGGAGTGGGGAGTCCAGATACCTATGAAGAGGGTGTCAGGGAAAAAAGCGGCTTTTACTCTACCTTCATAGGTTCACTTGCTGGGCCTACGGATGAAACTGACCAAAGGCAGATTAGCCAGAGAAGAGGAAGAGTGAATGTGTGTGTGCAGTGCAAGAGGTGCAGGCTGCCCAGTGATGGGTCCCTCACAGGGCGGTGATATATGCATATAAGTTATATAGGTATACAAGACTTTGGGGCTCGGATACCTAACTTAGAAGGGGAAAAGGATAGGGAGAAAAGGCTCTTGTGAAAAAAACACCAATAGATTTCTTTAGGAAAGACTTTTTTCTTTAAAGGAGAACAAACATGAAATAAGAAAGTGTGTGATGAGGTCTGTGCCAGCGTGAGTAGTTTTTCTGCCTTCTTCAGGGCCCTGAAATGGCCCATCGGAGAGGGACGTGGCCACCTCGTGTCGCAGGAGTGGCTGCTTTTCGTCAGATCCAGGAAGCCCCGAGAAGGCTTCTTTCTCCCTCTGCTGAATCTCAGCTGTCTTTAGCTTAAAATAAGTCTAATCACAGTGCTAAGGTTCTGACTGGGTCCCCACAGAGGACAGGAAAATGCACACGGAGGGAGGGGAGACGCAGGTTGAAGAAGGGGGCTCAGTAGATTGTGAGGTGATGGCATCTAGTTCAACTCTTCCTTTCTCTGTTCTGTGGGCATTTGACTGGGACTCACTTCTGAAGTTTAGGGCCCTCCATGCACTGCTGCTCTTGGGGGTTTGTTCTGAAGGAGGGTCTGCCCACCTGGCACAGGAGAATTATTCTGGAGCCTGTACTGACCTGACTTGATTGAGACGAGGATCCACGGTCCATGGCAGGCGCACGTTATATCTAAGTTTCCACTTTTAGTTGTCGTTCTTTTTGAAATAGACGAAGCGAATTTTTTCATCTACATTTTCAATACAGTTGCTCAAATAGAAACGTATTGTTGTACAATTATTTATCAATAATTGGGTACCAGGTTTCTGAGTGATCCATCATGGGGATATTTTGTATGTATTTTTAAAATTTGAATAAAAATTCTATTTATGTATTTTCTGTGTGACTCATATTATTGGTATGTTCTTTTATTTAAATTTATTACCTTTATTTCCCAGCCATCAAACACAGACAACCTGTTGGGATCATCCTAAAATGACTGAACTCTTTCAATCTCTTGGTGAGTATTGTTTTATTTAATGGTGATGAATTCCCTTAAACTGAAGAGGGTATTTTTTTGAATGGAAACTAATCATGAGCTTTTTTTTTTACATGGCATGCTATGTTTAAAGGGTCATGAGAGTGACATATGAGAGCAGTTGAATTTCAAAGGGCAATGAAGCAAACAGGTTTTACTTTCTTCTTAAGAGAATATAAGGTTTGAAATAGCATGATCCAGAAAAGTATGGTTTTAAAAGGAGAAATATAATGGGAGGTTTCTCCTCCCTCATATTGGGCCATCTTAATATTCAATTTTGTGTGAAAACAAAAATAATTATAATACAGCAACCTCTAATCCACTGCTTTTAAATTTGCTTTTAGCTCACTCTTTGTTTAATAAGGCTTATTAAATTAGCTAGCTTAATTTAATTTCTTCTAACTAGAGATGAAGAGCTAAATTCACTTTCATTAAAAAATGCAAGAAAACCCATGAGACGAGAATTCTGATACTGTAGATTTCCAGTAGAATGTGACTTTGATGATCTATAAAGCCTGCTTCCTCGGTTGGTCCCGTCATTTTGAAAGAACAGCTCTTTGGGGAGCAAAGGTGCTGCTTCAGACAGAGGGCTGGTACCCTAAGGCCCTCACCCCCACCCCTACTGTAACAAGTGGGGAGCACCCCGTCGTCGGTGAGGAGAGCTCCTTGTCCCACCAGTCGCTAGTGAGAGTGGGCGTCTTGTGATAGCTCAAGAAAAAAAGCTTTCTGAGACTCACATGGGAGCATGAAATATTATGGAAAGCTTTATTTCTGTGGAATTACATCCCTTAGTCTCCAAGGTCCTGCCCCCCGCCCCCATACCACCCCAGAAGAAATATAGCTATGGCTTCAGCAGAACTAGGAACAAAGCCGTTGCCCAGAGTTTTTACTCCACATTTTCACGTCCAATCCAGCACCAGGCTAGCTTAATCAATCAGTGGATGGTGTGTGGGGTACATAGTCCCACATGGCTATGGAGGGAACACGGGCAGGGGCAAAGCCGAAGGAGCCAGAGAGCCGAGAGAGTGTGAATTCCTTTGTTTGGGGGATTATATATTTCCAAATATTTGTGGGTTTGTAATGGACCCACCACTTCTGGCCAGTGGTCTCTGATCCCAGGTTTGACTGGCAGCACCCTCTCTATGTCACATCAACTTCACTGTACATGCTTCCATCTCCCCTTTGCGCAGTCCCTTCCCCCAGTGATCTACAGAGAATGGACCAGTGGTCCCCTGGGAAGTGTGAAGGTGCAGCTTCCTGGTGAAGCTGCCCAAATGGCATGCCTAAAATGTCTGGCCTCCCTCTTGCTCCTTTTTGTTTCTTTAAATATCAGGCTCCTCTAGAGACTTTCATTTGGGTGGGTGAGGGCCACTTCAAAGATTGGACAAGTGAGAGAAAAGCCTCTGGTGTGTTTAGTTAGCAAAAGGAGAGGACCAGTTTTTTGGGTTTTTTTTATCCTCACCCGAGGACATTTTTCCATTTTTTGTACAGACAGAGTGGGAGGGAGAGAGAGAGAGGGAAACATCGATGTGAAAGGGACACATCGAGTGGCCGCCACCCGCACGACCAACCAGGGCTGGGGACAAACTGCAACCGAGGTACATGCTCTCAGTGGGAACCAAACCCGGGTCTCTCCGGACCGCAGGCAGACGCTCTAACCGCTGAGCCAAACCGGCCAGGGCAAGAGAGGACCAGTTTTGATGATTTCTGAGTTCTCTTCTAACTCCACTAGTCTCTAATATTGATGCTCTCTCTTTAAAGGACAGAGAAAGAAATTGCAATATTTATTATTTCCAAGGGTTTGAATATTCACTTTGGGATAATTTTGACTGCATCTATGCAAGGGCAGAAGGAGCAAATAGGTCAGAATGGAGGAATATAGAAATAAAACCAGCTTTCCAAGTAGTGCCGTGGACTGCTTGGTTGGCAGAACACTGATTGTCCTTGGGGCCAGTGCCCGAGGGGAGAGCCCCGCCCAGCTGTGCAGAGGAAGGGCCCTCTACCTATGATGCCATGTATTGATTAAGCCATTGAAAGTTCACAGACCCAGTGTGTTTCCTTTCCCTTGTTTTCTTCCTTTTCCTGTCTTGGAGTTTGCTGTGTAACACTGCTTTGGACTATATCTCACCACGGTACTAATGAGCATTTAATTATTTCCTTAAACAAAGGCTGTGGATTTTGGGAGAAGGCTTTTTGATGCGAATACACATCTGAAGTAAATAAATGCCTTCATGCCATTCGATGTAAGTTAAGTAATAAGCATGGGTTTGAATGCGTTCTCTTTTCCATTACAGCTGACCTGAATAATGTACGTTTCTCAGCCTACCGTACAGCCATCAAAATCCGAAGACTACAGAAGGCCCTCTGTTGTGAGTCATTCTGCTCAAGTTAATCACTCTGTTCTTTGCGTTGCCTTTTTTTTTTTTTTTAAGACTAAGATAAATGAAGAGGGTGATGTGTTTGTAGCGTTAATCTGATTTTCAGCTTGCCACACTCAAGGAGTTGGCTGTGATTTTATAAATGCTCTATTATTCGCCCCATCAGCGTGCATGCAATTGTAAAACAAATGAGCATATGCCATTCTCAGTTGGAGAACAAAATTAACCAAAATATAGTAGTAACGTAAACATGTTTTTCAAAAAAGTATGCTGTCACTGGTTTAAAAGGATTAAAGCAAGGAATCAAAGGATATATATTAGTAGATCATTGCCTTGCTAGTACCTCGTATCTATTTGGAAGTGTAGGGTTTGAAACAAATTCAATCAATACAATCATACAATAAACACTAAAAAAATTGCATTCCTCATTCAAATTTGAACTGTCACTTTAGAAAATCAGATCAAAGGCCCTATGTTTATTTAAATATGTCTTGAGACATTTAGCATCATCAATATGAACTTTTCCTGCAGAGAGTATGTTCAGAGTGATTTCTGTGATAATCATTTTACCAAGAGCCATTCCCCCCAAATAAGTGAAATTTAAGTAGAAGTATGAGATATAACGCTTTTATTAGAGTACAGATTTAAGCTGTCTGGATTCAATTTGTGGTTGTAGTTTTAATGATTGAGTCTATTCAGAGAACATTTAGGTCTTATCAGGTAGTTAATGTAGACAGTAGCATTTGCCTATACTTTTAAGAGGATAATTTGAATAATTCCAAGGATTCTTGTTTGCTGCCATTTGCTAACAGTTGTTATATGTCTAGGCAGTTCAGTGATGCTTTGAAAATAACCCTGAGAAAAATGATATGTTAAGGTTAAAAATCTGCTCCTTAAAAGTCAGTAGAAATTGGAAATACATTTTGAGCTGATTGCATGAGAGGAGTTGAGGAAAGACAGCATAGAAGCATTCAGAGAAAATACAGCCATGCAAAGCTTTAAAATGCGAAAAAACTAAATCTGCACATGGAAGAAGAGTCTACAAAGGGCTAAAAAACACCTCTAGATGAGGCAGTGGAGGAAGTGATGAGATGAGATGACCGCACTTGACATCACATCGTCTGGGGAGCCTTAGTAACTGGCGGGTTATAGTGATGGCAGCAAGGGTTGAAAAATTACCAGAAAAACAAACAAACAAACAAAAAACAGTGCACTCTGGCCAGTGGTCTGGATGCTGAGCCAGAAGAAAATAGGAAGTGAATTAGCAACACACAAAAGGGATGCTCCGAGCCCCGTGCGTCCATGGTAACAGCAGTCTGGAAAGAGGCTCAGCTGCATGCATGCAGCTGACAGATCGGCAGGGTCTCCTCCAGCCTGATGAGCTATAAAATGAGGACACACGACCGTGCTGCAGAAGCTCCGCTGACAGAGGACGGGCTGCCTTGTACATGTTCATTATGAACACAGCCCCGTTTTCACTAATGCTTTTGGGTGGGTAAACGGTAACGCATTTGGTGCTTCTTTCTGGTGGTGGTGTTGGTGGTGGTGGTTTTACCCCCAAAGAAAAACGTTTCCCCTTCCAGCTCATTTCTTCATACCCGAAAGGCGCAGAAGAGCGATGCCTCCCACTCAGAGACTGAACGACATTTAGCCACACACTTAGGAGAGTGCTGGGTTCTACTGGATTGTAAATATTCCAGGGGCTGTTCTGGGAGCCGCCTGCCTCCCCGTTCCCGGCGCTGCCCCCACTGCTCCCTGGCCTGGGCCTCTGCACCCTTGTCAAGCTCCCCTGCCCACGATTAATCTGCACCTTCCTCCCCCGCCCGTTCTGTCTGCCTGCAGTTCCTGACCCTTCCTCCGCAGTGGTCTGGAACCCTTTCCTCCTTCCAAATGCTGCTCGACGCTTAGTCCTTTGGGGAACGTTTACAAGCTCACTCCACCTGCCGCCCATTCTTCCAGCACTTTTCGTGATGGCCTCTAACGACTGCGTCTCGCAGAAGCGCCGTGTGGGTGCTTTGTGTGACAGATGATGTCAAGACGATTGCCCTGGCTTCACTGACCTTGGCTTTCGGTCGTGGGTTGTCTTTCATTCTGTGTAAATCTCCAGCCACCATAATGTCCTCATGCAGAGGCATGCCATCGTCTCTGTCATTGTTCACTCATTTATTGGGCTCCAAGACTGTGCAGGAGATAAGGCAATTATAAAGAAATTCCGTTCCCACGCTCGGAGAGAGCACACGACACATGGAGACACGTGGACACAGCTCTCCCCCTTGCAGCAGGCTCCTGTGTTGCTCAATGAAATGGCCGTGGCTTGGCTCGCTGCTCCATCCCTTGCTCTCTGTCCCACGGTGGGCTCCTTTCAGTTCTAATGCACAGTTAAATGGACCTCTGGATCCATTCCTGCTGCCCAAGGGCTCTTGACCTGGCTCTTTGTTTACCCTCTTCCCCTGGCTTGTGCGTCCTCTTCCTGTAGGTGCTAGCTTAGCTGTCGCCTGGCTTTAATGAGGCTTCCTTGTCTAAAGTAGGTCACCCCTGATGTTTCATCTCATAGATGCTGTTCTTATGTGGCGCTTGTCATAATGTAAGATGTTGTTTGTTTGCGGTCTGTCTCTCCAAATGAACTAAGCTTTTCTGGGAGGGACGGATCTGTTTTCTTCTCCACTTTGAGCCTTATGCAACTTCTAACAGAGCGGTCTGCTAGGACATATTGAGCAAACGATTTGGGTTTGAAAGTTATAGGAGTACCCCAGAAAATATGTATAAAAAGATTGATAGCTACACTTTTTAATAGTAAAATTTGTTTCATTTTTGGCATTTTCATAAATGTGATATGATACAGCAGCTAAAATAAATGAAGGCATAATTAGGATCAACCTGGTTGACTCTTAGAACTATAAAGGTGAATGAAAAAAAATCAAGTAGCAGAAATCATCTGCATAGTTCTATTTTATTTATATATAGTTCAAAATCATGCACAAGTAAATGCTATATTATTTAAGGACACATAGATACATTCAATAATTGAAAGTGTGATTGTGAGGGGATTAATTGAGGTTTTCCAAGGGACTTCCAAGATATTAGTAGCAATCTATTTCTTTAGCTGTGTGATGAATAATGGGTATTTGCTCTATTACTTTTCTTTTAATATGTTTTTATTGATTTTTTAGAGAAAAAGGAAGGGAGACAGAGAGAGAAACATCGATCGGCTGCCTGCGGCATGTCTCCTCCTGGGGACTGAGCCCACAACCTGGGCATGTGCCCTGACCCAAAATCAAACCGGAGCCTCTCAGTCCAGGAGACAGTGCTCAATCCACTGAGCCACACCTGCCAGGCCTCGCTTACTTTTCTTTAGACTACATGTGTTATATGTATCCCTTTGTATTTTGATTTTTAAAAGCTCTATGTGGTAGGCAGTACCAGAGAATCCAAAGGCGAGTGCTGTAGGAGGAGGGAGAGAGCCCCTTCATCGTGAAGAACAAAGTAAGCTCCCTTGAGTAGGAAGCATATAAGCCAGGCCTAGAAGCCACACGGGATTTAGGCAGGCAGCTGTAATCAAGGGAAAGAGGAGAAGGAAGTATATGCATGGCACTCAGAGGCCTGGCTGGAGTTCAGGGGACATCAGCTAGTAATGGGGTCTCAGTGGACTAGCCTATGAGCTCTTGTCCAGTGTTCAGAAACGCCCTTGCAATCAGTTCAGGTCCAGTTCAAAGGTAATTTTCTTTTAATCTTTTATTCCCCTCCAGCTTTCCTAACGTTGTATTTAATTTCGGATTCATGTGTGTGTGTGGAGCAGAGTGCTATAGAACCACTTTCTGCTTTGTGGATGTAGGAGAGAGGGCCAGTCATGGCTGTGTGCTTTAGACAACAGGACAGCTCAAAGGACAGAGGGAACGGGGACAAGAACATAGTTCAGGTGAAGGATGGTGGAGTCTGAGCTGGCTGCAGGTCGGAGGGGAGATGAGGGTATGGATTTGTGGAGAGGAAAAAGAACTGATGACTGGGAGTTTGGTGGTTGATAGATTGCAGGTTAGGAGAGCTCAGGATTTGCAGACTGATGGTCCGTAGACAGTAGTAATACCTTTACAGGATTTAAACATAACAAGCAGGCAAGACCTTTATTTGGAACATACTAAGGTGAAGGTTCCTGAAAGAGAATCGTATGGCTCTGGTTGGGAACAGAGCGGTGGGAATGTGGATCGGGTGTGCAGGCAGGAGAACACAGAATCTGGAGTCATCCAGAGAGAAGGAATAACTGAAGTGATGGAGGCTGATAGACGGGAGGCGTTGAGCGCCACCTGTGTTCCTGGATGTCTGGGGAAGAGGAGCTGGGAGAGGTGCTAATCAGAAATGCTCAAAACCAGCTGGAGAACAGAAGGGTCACAAAAGCCCAAGGCCAGGTGCTCTATGCAGTGTGTGTTTTTACAGGAGAGAATGATGATCCATTTTCGTTTGATTGCCTGTGCCTCATATATGGGATTCCAGAAAAATGGGTTGGAAAATGATTCTGCTGCTGGTTCCACTAGCCACATGAATATGCCTCCCTTTGAAAAGAGGAGATCGTAATTTTCTGATTTAAATGTAGTCAGTTCCTTTTTTTTTTGGTACGTGCCCCTAGTGGGAACTGATCCCAGGACTCTCTGGTCCGCAGGCTGATGCTCCAACCACTGAGCCAAACTGGCCAGGGAAAATGTAGTCAGTTCTGTAAGGTACCGCAGTCTGACATACCTCGGAAAGATGTATGCCTTGCTTAGGCACCAAGACAGAGTGTCAGAGTAAATCCCTAAAAACGGAGGACATCATAGTACATGTGGGAGGTGGCGAATTACTGTTGTATTTACAACATATCTTACAAAGGAGACTCTCTGAAAGAAATGTAAGAACAGCCTTATCCAGGAAACGGTCTTTTTAGGACTTGGTCTATTGTCCCTTTGTCCCATGTGGGGGTATACAATAGCCATGCTGTGTTGTTGGTATAATTAGTGCTGAAATTCAGAAACTTCGAAGTTCGTAGTATCTGAATGTTTCTTTGTATCTGTGTGGAATTGTAGTTCTGTAGCTACTATCATTGTTAAGCCCTTCCTTTTATCACACACGAGGAAGAGTGATTTGAATTTTGCTCTTGCCTTCCTGGAGTCGATCATTGAAAACAGTGTATAATGTCAAGAAAATGCGACAGTGAAAACCTCAGATGGTTCTCAGTTTTGTTTTGTTTTGTTTGGTTTGACACCATCTCTAACTCACAGGAACCTTACGCAGTTATATATATTGGCTGAAATGTTGTCAGTGTTATGCTTGACATCAGAAGGAAATGGATTGACCTGTTATCCACAGTTGTTTTTTTTTCTATTTTTCTCTCTTTTTGAAAGAATGAGTTGTTGTTAGAAATAATTTGAATTTAATCCCTGCAGAGTTGTTCTAGAAATATTTTTTCATCTGTATAATTTTAAAGTAGTTCTTTCCCATGGTAGACAACTTGGAAAAATAAATTATTCTGGGGTGTTTAAACAGCTGGAGTGGACACGTATCATGAATGTCTTTCAACGTTCAAAATTAGTGGCTATTCAGTAGTTAAAAATAGGGAAATAAGCTCCTTCTGTCGTTCCTAAGCGTGATGATTGGGTGTTCACCCGCTTGTGTGCGATGTACCTCTCTGAGAGCCTGGTACCAGGTCGGCCCATCACCCGTCTGGCGTGAAAAACCACAGGTAGATACGGAGGAAGCTGTTCATTTCGTGAACTTTCGCAAACACCACATTCTTTTTTTTTATTTTTTTATTTTTTTATTTATCCTCACCTGAGGACATTTTTCCATTTTTTGTTCAGGTAGAGCGGGAGGGAGAGAGAGGAACAGAGAGAGAGAGAGAGAAACATCGATGTGAAAGGAACACATCGAGTGGCTGCCACCCGCACAACCGACCAGGGCCGGGGAGAAACTGCATCCGAGGTACACGCCCTTAGCGGGAACCGAACCCGGGTCTCTCTGGACCGCAGGCTGATGCTCCAACCGCTGAGCCAAACCAGCCAGGGCGAAACACCACATTCTTGAGGGCACAGTTTTGCATCTACAGGGAAGAATGAGTCGGTTTGACATTATTTTTCGAAGCTCCCCTAAGCTGCTTTCTTTTCATCTTTAACGTTAACTATGGGGGGAGGGGAAGAATTTTATAAAGCAGTAATTTCCATGAGCAGACCTTAAATTCTGTAATTTTCTAAACCCAATTGTTTGCATTAGAGGAATCATCTCCACACTTAGTAACTAGATAAATTACATGGTGGTTTAATAATGTATGTTTCCCTGTTTTCGGTTAGGTAATACATGACTCAACACTGATTTAAAAGAAAGATTATGTAAGATTTTTTTTGTTTTGTCTAAAATCTTACTCCTGGCCTTTGTGAGCCTCCCCTGGGGCCCCATGAGCTCCGAGTGTCGGCCTCACGGTAAATAAACATGCCAGCCACGCGTCCGCCCGGACCATCCACCCATCCCGCCCCCCCCAGCCCCCTGGGCTTCTTCGAGTTCTCGTCTTTCCTCGAGCAGTCTGTCCTCCTGGCGTTCTGTCCTCATGTGACATGGATCTTGTTTCTTCTCTATTGTTTAAAGCCCATTTCATACCCACCTGGCCAGGGAGCCTTCTCCAGCTGCCCCCCCCCCCCCCCCGCAGGAATAGCTCCCCTGGAAATTGATGTCTTCTTCCCCGGGGGCACGTTCCCTCCTCCTTTTAGGAGAGTTATCGGATGCCTGTCCTCTGTCTTGGAGAACAGGAGCTACGCCTTGTCCCTCTCTGCTCACGGTCTGTGCTCCAGCACCGGCCATGACAACCGTACATGCTCCGCACACAGAGACTTAGGATGGGAGCAAGTACATGACGACCCGAGCCTGTGGGACCTTGACTGCCAGCCTGCCAGCCTCCCCTCCTCCTGCCAGCAGCAGGTTGCCTGTGTGCCAACGCATCGTGGGAAGCAAGCGAAGTTAGGGCGCATCGTGGGGGCCCTGTAGATCTGGCTTCACTCAGTAGGCAGTGGAGAACTATTACTTTTCTACAGAGCTCATTTGTTTGTTTGTCCAATGTTTTTTATTGAGGTAACATATATATATAACATTATATAAGTTTCAGGTATGCAGCATTATACCTAGAAATCTATAGACACTACTACATGTTCAGCACCAAAAGTCTATTTTCCATCTGTCACCAGACGTTTGACCCCCTTTACCCATTTTGCCCTACCCCATGCCCCTTTCCCTCTTGTAACCACCAACCTGTTGTCTGTATCTATGACTTTGTTTTGTTTCTTTCTTGTTTTCTATTCCATGTATGAATCAAATCATACATTTTATCCTTTTCCTTTCCACTTATTTCACTTAGAATAATAATCTCACGATTCATTTATGTCACAAATGGCAATGGTTTATCTTTTTTATGGCTGAGTAGTATTCCATTTTATATATGTATACATCAGATCTTCTTTATTCATTCACCTGTCAATTGTCACGTAGGCTATTTCCATATCTTGGCAATTGTGAATAATGCTATAATAAAAATGGGTACTTATATCTCTTTGATTAGAGTTTTTATAGTCTTTGGATAAGTACCTAGAAGAGAAACTGCTGTAACATATGGTAATTCTCTTCTTAATATTTTGATGAATCTTCATGCTATTTATTATGCATAGTAACACCCATTTTTCTTTTTTTTTCAAACTGAACATCTTTAGTCAACTTTGTATCTTATAATGTACATATTCTGAAATTGTCTGACAGTGATTAGTTTGGCAGTGATAGAGGGTGAATTGGGAGGATGGTGAGCAGGCTGTTCTCAGGAATTAAGAGAAGGAAAGCAATGGAACACCTGGGACTTACTGTGATTTGGAGTAGATTTAGGGATTTGTGCCTTTCTATATTTAAAAGTAGAAGGAGCTCAGAGAGGGAAAAAGTCAGAAAAAGAAAGCAGGAAAGTTTGATATTCCAAAGAGTGAAGTGGGATCGTATTGAAAAGTGATAGAACTCTAATTCAGAAGCATGGAAATATGGATAAAAGAAGGGCTTAGGAATGTAAGAATGGAAATGATATTTATTACTTTATAAACTGAAATTAGCTAAAAAAATATAAAATCAATTCTTAGATTAGAGAACACATACGACTAGAAATCTTTTTGGTCCAATGTTGTTGTAGTGTAATGTAATGACTGTAACATATTCCTTTTTCTCTCATGATTAGTGGATCTCTTAGAGCTGAACACAACAAATGAAGTTTTCAAACAGCACAAGCTGAACCAAAATGATCAGCTCCTTAGTGTTCCAGATGTCATCAATTGTCTGACAACAACTTATGACGGCCTTGAACAAATGCATAAGGACCTGGTCAATGTCCCACTCTGTGTGGATATGTGTCTCAACTGGTTGCTCAATGTATATGACACGTAAGTTCTAATATTTTTCATTAAAGTACAGTTATTGAATGAAATATATTAATAATATAAAATATGTAATTTTTTTCCTTTCTCAAAATATTTTTATTAATATAGGATGGAAGTTTGACATAAGTTTTCTTATATAATTATTTTTCACTGAGATTCAGATATCTTTTGAAAAATAGATATATCTTTATTTTTGAAGTTATTACAGATGTCCCTCCTTTTTTTCCCCATTCCCTCCCCTTTCCGCCCCCACCCCGACCTTCACCACGATGTTGTCTGTGTCCATTGGTTATGGATATATGCATATAAGTTCTTTGGTTTATCTCTCCCCATCCCCGCTCCGCCCTTCCCTCTGACGTTTGTCAGTCTGTTCCCTACTTCCAAGTCTCTGGATCTCTTTTGTTTGACAGATTATTCATTCTATTCCACAAATAAGTGAAATCATGTGATGCTTGTCTTTCTGAGACTAATGAATTTTTTAAAAGTGCTTTATTCAGTGGAAATATTTATGTTAATTGTTGAAAATGAATGACTTTCCCAAAATTGAGCAATTAACGACAATAAAACAAAAAAGAATGTCCATCCACTACTTTAAGATGTTGCTTCAATTATAAAAGCTGTCAAATACCTAGATGTTTTTTGTTTGTTTTTTTGTCACCATGATAGAGGAAATCTAATTTCCTTCTAGAATTTTATATAGTATTTTTTTTTCAAAGGACAATATTTTGTAGTTATTGTTATGAATTAAAATAATGTATTGGCTCACAATCACCCTGCGATTTTTGTGCAACAACTTAAGAGCAACTTGAATGGCAATTAAAGGCATTTGATGTCTCTTTTGGTGTTAGCTTTACTTATTGCAATGGTGATTATGCATGGATATGGTGTTTTAAATAATCTATGCCGCAGGGTACTCATTTCTGTAACTTAATTAGGTACTCACTGTTACATAAAGAGCACTCTAAACTTCCAGAATAACAAAGTTGCCATTAATTTGACTTTTTGAATGTGACAATGAATTTCTGAAATAATTCTAGAAAGACCTGCTGTGGGCTGACGTTTCTAAACCATTAGGGGTTATTCATTCTTCTGGGAGGGGATTAAAATATGCGAAGATAAAATAAGAATATGAGGACTGCTGGTTTTCTCTCAGCCCCAAAAAGTTATTTTCCATTCATTAGCTGTAGGAAAATGTGTGTTTATCAGCATTTCGTTTGGTTTAGAGGAAAAGAAATGTGATAGGTCACAGATGCACACAGTTAGAGCTGATTCTGTGCAAGTAGATGGTGAAGACAGTAGCTTTAGAGATGATTTGATTAAAAATGTGTTTCTACTTTTGATTAGAGCAAGCTTTTCCAATATTCACAAATATTATAAAGTTTTTTTTTAAGGAATCGAATAGCCTTTGTGTGCTGGAGGGCTCTTGAGAAATTCCCTGAGAACTGATAGCATGAATCTGTTACCATAATGAACGTGAGATTTACTCTATTCCTACCTGGCATATTTTAATACATTTTATTTTAATGCAAATCTATTGTCTTACGGTAAAATAAAACTGTTAGTCATTATGTACTATTAAGTTGATTTTCAATTTCTTAAGCCTCCAAAAGAGGCATTTTCTACAGTAAAATCACCAAAATAGCTGGTCAATTAGGTGTTTTAACCACAAAGCCTATGACTTAATTTTACATCTCAGGAAGAAGGCTGAATTCATAGGCTACTTAGGAACTCCGTTGAGCCCTGTGGTGTATGGTCGAGGTGCACATCTTGAGCCATATTTAAAGAAAGAACTGGGGGAGATGTCAAATCACACGATCAGCATTGTCTGTGGCTCTAACACACTGGATTAGTTTGCTGGGGCTGCTGTACAAAGTACCGAAGACTGAGTGGCTTAGACAACAGAATGTGTTTTCTCCCAGTTCTGGAGACTAGAAGTCCAAAAACAAGATGCCAGCAGGTTGGTTTCTTCTGCAGCCTCTGTCCTTGCTTATAGATGGCTGTCTTCTCCATGGGTCTTCACATGGTCTCTCTCCTGTGTGGGTCTGTGTCTTAATCTCCTATTCTTATAAAGACAACAGTCAAATTGGATTAGGGCCCACCCTAATAACCTCATTTTAACTTAATTCCCTCTGGAAAGGTCCTATCTCCAAATACAGTTGCAGAATGAGGTCCTGGGAGTTCGGACTTCAACACACGAGTTTCAGGGAAATATCATTGAGCCTATGATTTCTATATGTATATAAATGCTGTTGTCATTGGGCAGCCCAAAGGGAATGGTGTCACTGAGTTGGGAAGGAAGCAGCATGTGAATTGTTGTGACACATATTCTAGGGAGTTACATGTTCGTATATTTCTGTTTTCCACCATCAAATGTGAACACATGAGAAATCTCTACTGAGGTACTATTTCTTATTTAGAAAGACAGTATCTTGAAATTTTCCAAGGATGTAGCTCCCTTTCATGTCAAAGAAATATACTGGGTCAGAACGATGTCTATTCTGTCTAGTTTTTCTCTCTTGGAGAGAAGTATCATGAATTAACCTTACGAAAATAAGCACAGTTGCTTACATGATGGTAGTTTCATGATGGCCAGAGTTGATTGCTCAAATTTCTCTAATGACTATGACTTATTTATTTATCTGAACAAGAGTATAACTCTTTTGAAGCCATTTTACTTCCCTTTGAGAATCCGATAGAAACTGTACACTACTTCTTCCAATGCACCAGAAAATAATGGACCCACGAGCCTCTGAACCTTGGAAATGGAACCACAATCTCACCCTTTCCTCCCTTCAGTTATCTGACCTTCATTCTTTAACCGAATAGTTTTGACTGCCTTACTTTGTGAAGTCTGGTAAAGCCAGAACTGGCATTTGTAGCTCTTGAAGTATATTCAACCAGCTCTTCAAATAATGAGCGACGCACAGACAGCGAACACAGAATTCTAGAAGGAGGGCTCTGAGGACCTACCATTCGGCCCTCTTTATTTTACTAATTAAGAAACCGACGCAGTGAGACAAGACACCTATTCTACATTTGCGGTACATAGGGTACCAGTATTCAAATGTTTTGATAATTGCCTGATTATTCATACCATATTGTCATATGGAGGAAAAATAGTACTTTATAAATTATTTTAAGTTTACTGTTTCTGTTAAGTTTTAACATGTACCCTACTTTTCCTAACACTCTAAATTTTGTTTTTTTGTTTTTTTAAATCTCCTTTCTTCTGTTGTGGATAACAAGAATCCAAATATTTGTTTCTAGTTGCTGTGTGGTTTGGTGGTCACATCACTTTTCACATCTTAATTTCTCATTTGAAAAATTGAGGTCAAGTATCTGCTTGGTTTACCACACACAGATGACTATGAAAGGCAACTAAACTAATATGTAGAAAGGTCTCGATAAATAATAAAAATGAAATTGATTCCATTTATAAGAGTTCACAGCCTCACTCAGTTTTTATCTTCCCAGGGTAAAAAAAAATGTCTTAATTTCACAGTCTTCTGTCTAGATTTACTGAAATAAAAATTATTTAAATTGTTACTGAAAGCAATAGTCTAGAATACTTAGTTCAAATTCTTCTGTCTCTACAGAACATATGAACCTCAGTTGCTGCAGTGTGATGTTATTTTTAGGGTGTCTATCTTTCCAGTTAAAGTAATGTTAGGAGTTAATTATGAAAATTATTAGGGAATCAATACTTCAGTATTAGGTTATACCACACAGTAATAAATCTCATTAGCGCCCTGTTGTCTCTCAAATCCAGGTGCCTTTTTTCACATCATAGCCCTCCATCATCTGGCCCATGTCACGTGCACTACTTTATAAACAGTGTAGCCTTGATGGTGCCATCTGAATGAGTCTCGTCACTGGTGCTCACACATGTCCTTCTATCCCTCTGCCTAAGCTTTTCCTGGGATACTTACTTTCTTCTAGTTGGGACAGGCGAGCCATGTCATGCCTCCAGTGTCCAGCTAAGGACTACTCAGACTAATCACCAGTCATTCATTGGTCAGCCACAATTATCTTGTACTTGATTATTTCCATACATAAAGGTTGATTTCATATGTTCTTATGATTAGTTATTTTCTTGTCTCACTTCCCAGCTAGCATGTGAGCGTATCATGGGTACAAATTGTGTCTTGTATTTTTCTATTGGTCCCTAGGGGATGTAGAACAATGCTGGGATCATAGTAAGCTTCCATAACTATTGATGGCGTGATGAATGGAAGACTGACATTTTCAGTAGTCTTGCTGATGATTTTCTTTTCTTGTGTTGACACCACAGACTGGGGGTCATCCTCTAATGCCTATCATTTTGATCTTTTTTCCCTTAAGGATTGCTTTGTCCTTAGCCATATTCATGTATTAGTCTACTCACACAGCCTTTTGTTATCTTCTGCAAGTCTACTGTCTGATTGTGTCCAAAGAATACAATTTTCTGATTTCTGAAGGAAAGAAAAGAGACATTGTCTGTTTTCATGTGATAATTAGGAAATGCCTAAAAAAATATGAAGTGGAAAAAAATTTCTAGCATAGCTCAGTTTGAGGTTATTTTGAAACTAGTATTTCAATAATTGTGAGAAACTGGAATATATGTATTAACATAGAAATTCTGCTTGTAATATCTACATTTGTTTTTTAATGTAAGTATTACTTATTTAATAGGTCAATTCTGAATGTTATACATAGTAAGGGTTCAATAAATGTGTTGATATAATTTAATATAAATATAGACTCTAGGCTATTGAGGGATTGTTTTATGTATTTATTTATTTTATTGATTTTAGAGAGAGAGAGAGAGAGAAATGAGAGAGAGAAATATTGATGGATCAGCTGCCTCCTGCATGACCCCCACTGGGGATCTGGTCCACAACCTGGGCATGTGCCCTGACCGAGAATCGAACCCACGACCTCTTGATGCATGGGTCGACGCTCAACCACTGAGCCACTACAGCAGGGCATGAGGGATTGTTTTGAAAATACATTTTACCAATCCCTAAGCATGTTTTTTATTTTATTTATTTTATACTTTATATGTCATGGTATGTATACAGAAATTTACCTGAATATTTATAATTTGTGAATGGAAGATATCAATTAATATTAATACTAAAAATATCAGTAAGATCAGGATATAAATACAGTTTGACAATAAGACTATCTAAAATTAAAGTTCTACGGTATAAATATTTACCTATTTTTTAAATAGCATAATTACTATATTTTTGTGTTCATATAATTATGCAAAATTTTATTTATAGGTTTAAGTATGTTCTCCTTGTAAATTGAAAACACTTTTAAGAAAATTAAAAATAAAAATTAAACTGGGAACCGATTTTGAATATAAAATAATAAAGACAGTAATACGGGTTTTTTTCTTGACTATGGGCAAGGATCATAATGTTGTTCATTTTGATAGATTCTGCATTTACCTTTGCCCATCCCCAGGAGCTAATATAGTGACTAACATTTGGTTGGAAGCTCAGTAATTCTGTGATAAATGATGGAATAAAGACAACTTTCTGCTTTAAAATAAAATAAATTTTTTCTTTTACTCTGCTCATATGTAAAATTGAAATGGCCTCTCATTGGTATAGTGTAAAGCTATTTCCTTATGTTGGTTGATTAAAATTTTTGAATTTAATTACAATTTAATGCTCTCCCAAATAGAGATTCCACACCTGTCTGTTTAAGATCATTGGCTAGTGTAATAATTGCAATTGTAATACAAAACTGCACTGACAAAGACCAACATCGATAAAGACAATAGAGTTTTGAGTATTCAGCAGTTATAAGCCCTCAGTGTATAATTTTTTAGTCAGTCTTCTTACATTTGATCTTAGATATACCTTGCTGAATGAATTTACATGCATATTATATGTATCTATTTTGAATCTTGGATTTATAATTATTAAATAGATTTTAGTTCATAGTATTTATGAAAATGAAATCTTTTAAGCTTTATAATTAAAGTTTTTATTTTGCCTTAATTGTTCTTCCTGATTCAATGTCATGTGTAAAGTGACTTCAGGCTATATATTCTTCGAGACTAGGCCAAATATACTACTGAAATATGTCGTGAAATTATGGTGTGGGTTTAATATTAATTATTAAACGTGAATAGAAAAATTATATCTTTAAGATGCAATTATTTTTTAATGGCTTACCCTCAAGAAAATATTCAGAACTATTTTACATACTGTTTTAAATTCATGTAACACATTGAGATTCTTACCATTTCAGGGGCCGGACTGGAAAAATTAGAGTGCAGAGTCTGAAGATTGGATTGATATCTCTCTCTAAAGGCCTCTTAGAAGAAAAATACAGATGTATGTAAGACCATTCCTATACCAATAGTTTTTTTAGTAATGGTAACGATAATTTATTGGAGATATATTTTATGTGATTGGCCAGTAATAATAGTTTCCCTTTTTTTAACCCTTAACTCTACATGTCAAGGCTAGACTGGGAGTCAGTACAAAATGGGCTGGTGTGTAATGAAAAGCTGACTATAGGACCAAGAGGCGACGTGCCTTGAAGGAGTGAGAACCAACTACAAATTGTATCTCATTTAATTCTCAGAATAATCACCGATAATGATGTAGGCATTGTGGTTTCCATTCTCTAGATGAAAAAATTAATGCTGGCTTACAAATCTAGTCAAAGGCTACAGTGACAGTAATCATGGGGCCAGAATTAGATGCCCGAGTTTTCTGACACTAAAGCCCGAGCTTTTTCTATTTCTATATACTTCCAATGCTTACAAAATGTTCAGATGGACTAGAACCTTTATACTTGAACCTTGAGAACTTCCAGTACTTGGGGAAAAAAATCAAGTTGGACCAGAACCGTTGTAGATGTAGTTAGACAAATAATTACCTAGTGTGAAAAATAGTGATAAAAATACTTTTATTTTGTTATGTTTGTTTCTGTTCACTAAATAAATTAGTGGTGTCCCTTCTCTGTTAGTTATCAAAAGGCATCTCGGCATTTGGAAAAAGGACAGTCTCAGGGGCCAGAGAGACTTGCCTTCAAATCTCAGCTCGACCACTTAGTGTCTGAGTGACTTTGGGCAGGTTACAAGATCCCACTGAATACGGACTGTAGCTAAGAGATAATATTACTTCCATTTCATGCTTCAGGAAACTGAAATTTTGTGACTTGTCTTCTGCTAAAGAATGAAGCTAGTGATTCTTGCTTTGAAAACAATTAGAGACTTGTGAAAAGTACCTAGGAAAGGTGGTGGTTGAATGAAGGGTAGATATTGCTGCTGTCTTCAAACTCTTAACTACTGTAAAATTTCTTTTGATTTAATTTTGTCCATAAAATGTGAGTTCCTTGATCCTGCGGTACATATGCCTAGGTGATCCTTTACAGATTTATCCATGCATCTGGGGGAGAGGGATGCGGATACTTCATGAATGGAGAGATACCGAAAGCAAGAGGCTATCTGATCACGGATCCTATAAACTTATTTAAGTTTTACATTTTATGTGAACATACATACCCTTTAAAAAAAAAATAAGTTTACCCCAGCCTTTAAAAAAAAAAAAGTTTAGCCTGGCCGGTGTGAGCGTCAGCCCATGTACCGAGAGGCCGGTGGTTCGATTCCCGGTCAGGGCTCATGCCCAGGCTGTGGGCCCGATCCCCAGTGGGGGCGTGCAGGAGGCGGCTGATGGATGTTTGCTCTCATCAGTGTTTCCATCTCTCTCTCCTTTCCTCTCTCTAAAATCAATAAAGAAAAACATAAGAATAAAAAAAATAATAAAAAGTTTACTTTCTGGGATGGCTGTGAGATGATGGATTTTCCATTTTAGGTCTAGGTCATGAAAACTTGTTTTTCTTACACAGTTTACAAGAATGTCAGTGAAGGATGCAGATTCTGTGACAGGAAAAGCTGATCGTAGGATCCGCAGGTGCTCAATCCTTCGTGGAGACCGAACCTAGTATAGGAAAATGCTTTGCACGGGCTTTTGTTTGGTGGCACTTTATCCAGAACTTAAATCATCTTCAGCATCATATTTGTCAAAAGATAACCATTTTCAAAGCTAAGAAAGTTATTTCTATAATGAGTGGGAAAGGAAAATGTGAACAAAAGCATCAGTGTACCGCAATTAGAAAGGGACTTTTTTCTCATCTGTGTTTTGGGGTTTTCATGTGCTCCTGAAAAAAAATGTTGGGTTCTTGGAAAGTAACAATTAGGTCACAGTGCTCAACTTACCCTGAAACGAACGCAAATTCTGCCGCACAGTTTATCATGAATCATCAACAGCAGTGTGATCTGTTTTCCTACATCTCTGATTCCCGCCTCTCTCTCTTTTTTTTTAAGCTGATTATCAGGGAGTAACCTGAGAACAAAAGAAAGAGCTACAACCCAATGGCTGTAGTTATACAATAACAATGACAACAAAAAACAAATTATACACAATGTTATATATAAAAGGTGTCTTTTATCTATACACATACTTTCAAACATATTTCTGAAATGTATAATCTTCAAATTGAGGAGGGTATGTCAGACACTTGTACACAGTCGACCCACTAATTGTAAATTGTACAGTTTACAAATATTGGGAAACTTAATATCTGTATAATTTTACATTAAAATTTTAGATTATGCAGGAAAAGCAGGAGAAATGAAATTTTCTGACATTTGATGTAATCCATGAAGTATGCCTTTTAGGACTTAATTAAATAAGAAACTTCTTGGGTTGAAATCTTGAATCTAAATCTTTCTGGGCAGTTTCGAGACTCAGGAAATTTTACTTTGTTTTGTTTTAGATTTTACTTTGAGATCCTTAGCCATTCTGATTCCAGTTTTGATTTTCCCAGTGATATCCGAACACTTCCTTGTTATTACTTCATTGTAGAATTAATATTCAAGACAATTTGCTTTCCAGATTCAATGGCAAAAGTGCCATCCTGAGTTATCTGGTATCTGTCTGAACATCGACTTTGCAATGGTGCATGTCAGTGTCATCAGCTTGGTGACACTTCCCCGTCTCTTCATGCCCCCAGAGAATGTCCCTTGATTAGGTTCTAACAGCACCCTGGCCTTCCTGCATATAGCTGGTGGCTTCTTTGCTTCATCAAAAACCCTCAGATCCTTTTCAGTGACCTTTTGCATCCCTTCTGTGCTAATTTATTGGAACTTGGGTTGTAGATTGTGATTTTTCTCTGACCTGTTCCCACATTCTCATACTCCTTTTTATTTCTGACTGGAACATACAAAATGTGAACTTCTATAACAATTTAGAAATATGTCAAACTTTCTAATGTTAATGCTCATCTTTTATGTTTTGCATGTAGTTGTACCTTAACACAACCTGCCTCAAAGAGGCAAGTTGGGTACAGTTGGTCTTGTTGGAAATGTGCAGTCTTCTGTACAGATTATTATACATGTGCATCAACTCTCTTTCCTAAGAGGACTCTTCCCAGGAGAGATTTAAAATGAGCATCATAGTAAGAATCCTGGAAAAATATTTCTGGCTATGATAGTTATATTTTGACAAATGGAAAGAAACAAGTAGAACTCTAACCAAATATAAGTGAACAAATGATAATAAAAATTAAATTTATCTTAATTGAATTTGCTTTTCCTATGTATACTTATAATTAAAGTCATATTTCATTATAATTACTGTGCCAATATTACTGAGCTTGGTTCAGTAGTTTTGAAAATTCACTGTTGATAGTGTTAGATGTAGCATGATTCCCCTTTAAAAAAAAAGGGAATATGCATTTTGAACTGATTTATTGGGTATGTTTTGAAAATGATTTTTAGGATTCAATAAATATTTACTCCACTTTCTTCTGTTTTTGGAAACTTCACATCATTTAGAGTTTGTGTGATTATGAATTTTCAGAACTGGGAAATTTCTTTCCAAAAAATTTTAGTTTCTATAACAAAGTGGGTTGCTTATATATGAAATTTCTCTCTACTCCTAAAGTAACTTATTTAAGCATATTAGCTTTATTGCTAGAAACAAGGTAATAATTTTAATCTTCAAAATGTCCCAAGTGGTGAATAAAAGACAAGCCAATACTGGAAAAGAGAGAAGAGCTTTAATTTTATTGTATTAAGAAAGTTATAAAATAAATTAGTGGGTCTTTTTTAATGCATAGAAATGCCTAAAGAACTATGTGAAAGTAAGCATGAGTTTTGTTAATATGTCCTTAAAATTTGAATAAATGTATTTTATTCCATGAAATGAAGTAAAACAAAAGTAATTGTTATAACTAATAAGGAAGGAGACTAATTGGGTCTAAAACAAATAAACCTAAAAATAAAAGACACCTGCTTGTACTTCTTAATGTGTCTATATAAAATAGACTCGAGTATGATAGTCTCTAAAGAAGTAAATATATATATTTAATACAATATTAAACGTAGGAGTGCCCACAACGAGTTAGGAAGCAAAGCTGTTACAATGTAAAGATTTGCCCCTTAAGGCGCATTTCCTCCTTGGACAAGTCATGATAAAGCTTTGTTTCGGCTCAGTCTTTCTCAGTAAGAAGAGAAACCCTTACTGAAGCCATTGAATGAAACCCACACGTGTTTATCGTACCATTTGTAAAGGAAATTTGTAGTTACTGGTCTACTTACATGTATTGACGTACCACAGTACGTTGTCTTGAGAAGCATGTAGTTACCCAGTTCCTGATTACGAGCACACAGGACATCAAGGTTGTCAGAATTCAGGACACAATGAATCGATTCCGGTCCCCATGGATTTTTCTTTTTAAATCTACATTGTCCAATCCCCACAACGAGAGATGTCAAAGAACACTGCAGGTGGGTGGAACTTAACCTCCTGCCTCTACGCCCTGCAGATCTCTTCAAGGAAGTGGCCGGCCCCACAGAGATGTGCGACCAGAGGCAGCTCGGCCTCCTGCTTCACGACGCCATCCAGATCCCCCGGCAGCTGGGAGAGGTAGCAGCTTTTGGAGGCAGTAATATTGAACCCAGTGTTCGCAGCTGTTTCCAACAGGTAAACACACAGGATCCCTGGTGTATAGGGTGTGTTGAGCAAGGGTTTTGAGAATGTTCCAAGAAATGGAACAGGGAACTTGGGCTGGAGCCAAACGGTGGAGGACAGCGGGTACCATCTCAGTAAGTTCGTGCCTTGTTTCTTACAGCATATTTGATTCCAGGAATAGCTACTGCCTCAAGGAGACTTACTGCTTCTCAATGTATAAAATCCAGAATCTGTAACCTGTGCTGTCTGAGTGCTGTGGTCTGGCCCTGCCCAGGCCCTGGCCTCATCTTTTGTCACTTGTCTCCTTGCTCCCTGCTCTCTGCCCTCATGTTTTAGTTCCTCTGTTCTTGCCTTAGCGCCTTTGGACATAGGCCCTCTGCTCAGAATGTTCCTCCATCCCCTCTAACCCACAGACTCTTCTCATTGCGATCCGTACCTGTTCTTTCGGTCTTTGCTTAAATCTCACCGCCTCTGAAAACCCGTCTCTGACCCTTCAGATGAGGTCACGTGTCTCACTATATTCACCTGGATCTCCTCTGCCTTCATAGGATGCTCATTACAATTATAATTGCATGCTAAATCATATAATTGCCTATTTAGTTCTTTTCTTCCATCGAAACCTAAGCTTTATAAACAAGGGCAATTTTTTATCTTTTTATTATTGTATCCAGTGCACAGTGCATTGAACTTCACAGCTATTCAATAAATATTTTCTCCATAAATTAGTAAAAAGCCCTGAGTTCCTTGGAGGAAAGATTTTTTAAAATATATGAATTTTAAATGTTATTACAATAAGGTCTTTTCTTTGTGAACTTATGCACAGAAGGAGCACGATACACCAAGTGCCATACGGGTCTAAGTTACCCATGTTAACTGGAAAAGCATTTTAGTTTCTTTTTAATGTTTACTGTACATAAAGCATTTTAGAAGTCTTGCTACTGCTATTGTACATTTGCATAAAATACAGCCTACAGATATTTTCTCAAAGCATATTCAGTGATTTATCATTGCAGAGAAAAAAAAATACACCATCTCTTTAAGGCGAATTGATGTTATGGGTTATTACATTTTATAATAGACCTTTTTCTTGTTTTAGAGATACAAAAATACCAACTGGAAATTCTAAATATAGTTTCCCACATGTTGGTTCATAGAATGACCTTGACAACAGCAGAAGAAAGATGTTGGTACAAATTTCATTTTGCACATATGAAAAGAAATTAGTGGTAAGATTTGCAGGGGGACTAAGATGTTTCATACACTTTGTTCTTAATTTTGAAATCTTGCCAAGTACATTCCTAGTACTATGACCCCAGTGTGCTGTTATAACTGGAGCAGGACACAAAAATAACAGTTTTTATGTAGCATTTATAATGACCTTCAAGTTTGGAAAGTAATCAGTGAGTTTTTACTTTCACAGATTTTTACTGTCTTAGATGAGTGAGCTTTATGGGATTAAAGCGTATATGTGAAAAGAACACCTAGAATATTGTAGGTATTGTTTTTGTTTTTTAAAATCTGAATATGTAAAGGTATTGGGATTTTTTCCTTCTTCCTATATGAAAAATTCTGCTTTCCTCTTTCTAAATTCTAGAATTTTCATTCCTTGAAGAACCTTAACTGTTTCAGGATTTGCCTGGAAAGAACTCATTTTTCTTTTAATTGTGCACAGGTTTTTCAGAATATTATGAAGCAACAACATGTGCTACTATTTCAGTGAGGACATTTTCTTCACTTTTAATGTATTTATTTGTTCACCAGAATAACAACAAGCCAGAGATAAGTGTGAAAGAGTTTATAGACTGGATGCATCTGGAACCACAGTCCATGGTTTGGCTGCCGGTTTTACATCGAGTGGCAGCAGCCGAGACTGCGAAACATCAGGCCAAATGCAACATCTGTAAAGAATGTCCAATTGTCGGATTCAGGTAATACCTCCACCAGCGGAGGCGGGAGACGGTCGTCCATTCTGTATGTGTCATCCTAGTGCGTGTCAATCATCCCTTCCATCCATTCCCACTAGGGGGTTTGCCTCCTAAAAAAATGAGATGCTCAGCATACTCCGTGTCTCTAAAAATGGCATTTCTTCTTACAGCATGATCATAAAGCTTAAGCTCGTTGTTACTATTATTGATAGTATTTTGCTCCAGGACCAAAGACTTTTCTGAGTTTCTAGCACATATTTCACAGATATGTCCATGTGCAGTAACTGCACAGCTCATTATATACATTGGCCCTGATGGGGTTTGGTGACGTTTTTTTCTCTGAGGCCTTTGGGGTCAGACTTGGTAAGCAGAGAGCAAATAAATAATAACTGAGAAGTAATGTGGTTACTCTGCTTTATTTCTGCCAAGTTTGGTGTGAAGTAGATTAACCCTCTTACCCCCACAAGGAGCGCTGCTCAGCGCCACACATGAATGTAATCCATGTCAGATGCCTCGGCCGGGGGTCCCCAAGCAGAGAGTGCAGCGTCTGTGGTTGGCCCCAAGGTGAAGTGCCTTGGCTGCCATGGTCCTGCACCTCTGTCTTAAGATAGGTTTGCATTAGAATATGTCTGTTTCTCTTCTGGGAGGAACCCAGAAAGTAACCCCGTTTCATTTGGAAATCAGCTAAGAAATACCACAAGCCTTCCCAGCAGTGGAACCCAAGGTTTTGTGTGTGCCTTTCATTCATACCTGAAGAGGAAGGAACTAAGATGGTGATTTCGCTCGTGGAGGGTCAATCTACGGCTAGGATTGGCTTTGTGGTATATAGCACCTGTTATCAGTATATCCCGAACTCAACCAATAGCTTTCATTGACTGACGTTACTGTCATAGTTTGTATGAAGAGTATCATTGCACGTTCTGTGGATGGTAACCTAAGAAACTGAGTGTACATTTCCAGTTCTTCCCTCGCAGTGTGCTGGGGAGCCAGTCTAAAGTGTGACAAGTTCCGAGTGCCTCGTCCCAGTGAGGCGGTGCGATCTGAAAGACTGGGAAGGCAGGCGGTCAGTGCGAGGCAGAATCCGCATGAGCCTGACGGCCAGGATGATGGGTGCCCCCGGGGAAGTCAGACCCAAACACCGCAAGGGGAAAATGGAAACGGTACATTCAAATGCAGCAGGTTTCTTGGAGAGGCTAAGTTTGAAGCACCTGGTAGCCAGATGGACAGAGGAAAGGAATAGCCGGGATGTAACAAGCTCAGGCTATGAGTGGGCAGATAATCCAAATGAGATATAACCGTCAGAACTATGGTCACTGCTGTTTACCAAGTGCTGTCTGTATGTATGCCAGGCACTGTGCTAAAACATGTTTCATTTCTTATTTCATTTACTCTCCATAAAAACTCTGTAAAATCGGTAGGTTATCTCTACTTTACACATGAAAGAACTAAGACTCGGAGATTAGGCAACTTGCCCAAGGCCAGATATCCAATAAGTGAAGACAAAGCTGGGGTTCAAATATAATGTTTCTGCCTCTGGGATTCATTCTCTGAGTCATTATGGTATTTTCTTTTAAAAAGCAGATTAGATTTTTAGAAGAGGCGAGATTTGACATTAAGAAGCAATTAGATGATACTGAATAGAACAACTGATTGAAGACATTGATTATTAGACGAAAAATAGTGTGCTACATGTAAAGAGTAATGTGAACCCACAGGAAACATCCAGATGGACTGGCTTGAGACGGGTTTACGTGAAACCTGCCACATACAGCCCTTCTGTGGCCAGAGAGGTGTGGAGGGAGCAGATTCCTCAGGGGCGGGATACAGAGAGTGAAGGAGAGGACAGAAGACTAAACGTTATTAGTATTTGGTTGTACTTCTAATGCTTTATTTCTTAAATGGAAAACAAAACACCTTAAACAACTGTAGCCTAACATGATCCACCAAAGCTGAGATGTGGGTACATGGGTGTTTATTATGTGATACTCTCTGCTTTTGAATAAACTTGAAATATTTCATAAGAGAACATTGGAAGAGCAGTTATAAAAGACGAACAATGTTAAATGTTGAATTTCAGGTGTTTAATGTAAACTTTATATGTGGATGTCCTAATATAAAGATGTAGAGTTGACCCAATAAGTGGTCGGAGGTCAAGGTTACAGCAGGACGTGCAGGAGGCGGTGTATTGAGAATTCGCTCTGGAGTCTGGTGTTTAGGTTTGAAACCCAAATCTACTGCTCGACTGTGTCACTTTGGATAAGTTACTTGAGTTTCCTGAATCTGAGAATCTTCAACTTCAAATCCTGCAAGCATTTCCTCCAGAGAATAGTTAATACGTGAAAGGTGACTAGGGCAGTACCTATCACAGAAGGAGCAGGCATTCAATAAATGTTAGCTCTTTTTATTATTACCAAAACCGAATAAACATTAGTGGGATAGTAGGTCAGCCTATCAGTGATACTGCACTCGGTATTGAAAAGCCTGAACAGTGATTAGCTCAGTAGAAGGCCAGGTTGATAAGAGCAGTATAAAAGCAAAGAAATATATCTGGGTTCTCAAGAGAAGTAAAGAATCATAGTGTTGCAGAAATCAGAAAGAGGGCTTTGGAAGATGGTAGAGATGTTAAGTGCAACAGAGAGATTCTAAACATCGTATGTGAGGACAGACCTTTGATTCAGGAGAACTCACTGGTGGTTTCAGCAGAGGTCTTTCCGTGTCACAAGGACGGAAGGCACGTCTCAGGCTCAGGAACGTGGAGGTTAGTATGAGCACACAACTTGCTCAGGGAGTCTAGCTGTAACTTGAAGAAAATGTGTCAGTATTATCATCTTCCTTTTATTTGCATATATATTTCCCCAGTTTTCTATTTTGAGAACGTTGTCCATTTAACATTTTAAATTTCTGAACGGAAGAGAAACAGGTCTCGAATCAGTATCTGGTTTAGGGATGAGACCAAGCAAAGGTTTCTTCAAACTAATTAACGTAATGATTACACAAAGATTATCCATAGAAAAAATAATGTAAGAACAACTCCAATAGTAAAACCAGGGCCAAGATAGAATGGGAGATTAGCTCTTAGGTCAAGGGTTGTCTTTTCTCTGAGCGACATGGAAGAATGAAAAGCCAACTCCAGAAATAGAGAGGAGTATGGGCATTGTGGAATAACGTTAACTTTGAATATATGTACATATATATATATATATATATATATATATACATACATACATATATATGTGTATGTGTATGTATACATACACATATATATGTATATATATTCATTTGTTTTCCCTGAACTTTTATAAATACTGCTACAGTTTTCTTCTAACTACTTCCAAATTAAATTTTAATGAAATCTCGGATTTGCAGAATGTTTTACAAGCTGGGGATTGTTTCAGTTAGGATTACATACAGCTGCTTAATAGAAGCATAAACAAATTAGAAGTTCAGTTTCTTTTTATGTTTAAAAAAAAAAAAGAGTCCCAAGGTAGAAATCCATGACAGAACTGAATGGTGGCTTCCCTGTCATCTGGGTCTGTTGCCCCCCTCCCATTTTATTGAGATAAAGTTGACATATAACACTGTGTATATTTAAAGTGCATAACATGTTGATTTGATACACTTTTCGCAAAATGATTACCTCCCTGGTGTTAGGGAACACCTGCAACATGTCACATAATTACCATTTCTGTTTTGTGATGACAACATTTAAAATCTCTCTTAGCAACTTTCAAGTATATAATACAGTATTATTAACTATAATCACTATGCTACACATCAGATTCCTGGAACTTATTCCTCTGATTACTGCAAGTTTGTACCCTTTGACTGACACCCCTCTTCTCATAGTTCTTTATGCTGTCATCCTTAACAGGTGGCTTCAAGGTCACCCCATGCTAACAGAATGCCCCTTCTTTTCTTTTTTACTTTTTAAATTGGATTTTTGGGGTGACATTGGTTAATAAAATTATATAGGTTTTAGGTGTACAATTCTGTACTATATCGTCTGTATATTGCAGTGTGTGTTCACCACCCTCAGTGTGGTCTCCGTCCATCACCATGCAGTCCCTCTATCAGAATGGCTCTTAGTGATGTCAGGTTCACTTTCCAGGAAGGAGGAGTGGGACCATGCTTCTTCCCAACTAAGTCAGTCCCTTGAAATCCCAACTAGAAACCCAGCCAGTGACCTTGACTTGTATTGCACTGGTCACCACCATCAGCAAGAGACTGAAAAACATATTTTTAGCAGGGCACGCTGCCCAGTGATAGCACAGGGGCTGGTGCCACAGAAGAAGGGGGAATGGCTTTCTGCCAAGCAGTGTTCAGAAATAAACAAAACTCCATTTAGAAGACAAGACGTCCGTCACATTCGTCAAGCCATGCTGATAGGTCAAGAAATATTACTAGCATAGGTGAACGCTTCAAACCAGTTGCTTCCCTGCCACAATGAGCTGGATGCAGTATATGCCGATTTATTTTCTTGAGATTGATTTGCAAGTGATTTTTGCAGGTCATTTTAGAAGCTACTTAGCACTTAATGGTTTACATTATTAACCTTACATTCCCTTTACATTTTGTTTCCATTTTTATTCTGTTAGTCCTGTTCTTCTTCTTCTTCTTCTTCTTCTTCTTCTTCTTCTTCTTCTTCTTCTTCTTCTTCTTCTTCTTCTTCTTCTTCTTCTTCTTCTCTTCTTCTTCTTCTCCTCCTCCTCCTCCTCCTCCTCCTCTATGGATACGAATGTATTTATGTTCTTAGTCACTACCTGCCATTCTGGCAGATGGAGGATCTGGGAGATGCTTTCCACTCTGATTCATAAGAACTGAAAATCCACAGATTCTGTAAATGAAGGGCAGTGTACAGTGTCACTAAGCACATTCCACATTTGTGACTAATATACTTTTGTGGTGATTTGGATGAATGAAATTCCTTCCAAAAGTGATTGATTTGGACTAAATACAGGCTTGTAAGCCAATGAATTTTCTTTTCTTCTCTCCAGATACAGAAGCCTAAAGCATTTTAACTATGATGTCTGCCAGAGTTGCTTTTTTTCGGGTCGAACAGCGAAAGGTCACAAGTTACATTATCCAATGGTGGAATATTGTATACCTGTGAGTACTGAGCCATTGTTTGTTGGTTTGTTTTAATATATTGCTTTTGAATTAACTAGCATTTAAAATTAATTCAGTGTAGACAACTTTGGGGGGGTGGATCATTTTTAAGATTGGTTAACAATATTTTTGTTGTTTTGTTTTCTTTTAAGTAAATATATCTATATTGTATTCATTAACAGAATCATTATAGCCCTGACTGGTTTGGCTCAGCAGTTGGAGCATCAGCCTGCGGACCAGAAAGTCCTGGGTTCGGTTCCCACTAGGGGCATGTACCAGAAAACAAACAAACAAAAAAGAATCATTATGCTTTTTTCAGAAAAGTTAATTAGATTTTATTTAACACCTGTGTTTTGATTCTGAACAACTTTCTTGGCAGCAAAACTCTTTTAAGAGCTTATGCTAACCCCATTGAAAATGATACTATGTGATGGGAAATTGTGCTTCTTTTAGACATCTTTAAAATGTTTTCATAATTACATATTTACATTAACAAAAATGTAGAAAATGAAGAGTGATAAAACCTATAAATCTAGCTCCTGAATAAGCTACCTTCTGATATTTCTTCATGTCTCTGATTTTAAGACTTTATTTTTATATTTATATAATTTTGATTCTGCTGTTTTCAGTGAACATGTTGCATAATAAATTTTCCCCTCTGTTGTCACACAGTATAATTTTTCCTTGTTACAGAATATGTAATTGAGTGAATTACTCTAAGTTATCTAACCATTCCTTTATATATGGACATTTAGCTTATTTTCAGTTTTCTGATATTATAAACAACATTCATTATTATGGTTGTAAAGGTAGCTCCTTATTTTTCGTAAATTATATTTCCATAGAATAAAGTACTAGAAGTGGATAAATGTGAGCATTTTCATGGCCAAAATACTTCATGTTGAGTTATTTTCCAAAAGAGGTTTGTGCCATATTATTATCACATTTGGTTCGTGTCCTAATTTGACTGCAGCCTCACTAGCCCTGGATATTAATTCTCATTGTTCCTTCGCTCTAAAGCCATGTTTTCCAAAGTTATCCTCATTTTCTGTCAACAGCTATTTTTTAGCCTCCTTCCAAAAAGTGAACGAAAATTTATTCATAGAGCTATACATTTTCTTTGGTTTAGGGAATTGAGTTACTTTTTGGATCAAAAATCGACAGAAAGGCAGCAAGACTTATAAAATATACACATATAAATCTCACATTCTTAGGTATCTCCTCAAATAAATAGGTTGCCTGTATGTGGAGAGGGAGCCTCTAGACAATGTTGCAGAATTATAACAGATAAAATACCCAGATAAAATGCACAGTGACTTCAACTAGGAAAAAAAATCCCCCAAGAAAATGTGTGTAGCACCGTGTATTATTATGATAAATATTTACTCACACAACAAAAAATATTGACTGCTAACCATGTGTCAGACACTGTTCTTAGCTTTGATCATTCATCAATGTACTATCAAAACAGACCCGATTCCGCCTCTCCTACTTTCCATTTAGGAGGAGGGGAATCGGTGAAACTGAACGAGGAAACAAATGAGATCATCACAGAGTAGTGAGTGCCTTTAAAGGAGTAAGTGTATGATGAGATGGAAGGTTAGAGGAGGCACTTTAAAGAAAGAAATCGGGGCAAATCTTCCTGAGATGTTAACAATTTGAGTTGAGATTGAAGGATGAAGAAGAATCAGCTGTGTAAAGAACTCGTGGAGGGAAGAGACACACAAGGTGGTCTGGAGGGGCAGAGGGGTTGGCATGATTGGGCACAGGAGAGAGTGGAGCATATTCTGCAAGGGGCGGGGTATAATAGGTAGCACTGGCTAGCTACTTTGAAGTGACCACAGCAAAATGAAAATCTGGGGCCCCTTGTTAAAAAAGTATTGCCATTTTCAAGAGGGAAAAAGCAGAGCATTAAGGTAAGTTCAGAGCTCTTCTGAGTGCAGGACCCTGTGCAGCCACACAGGTCACACATCTGGGAGCTGGCCCTGGGGGAAGGAAGAAAGTGGAAAGGACTCGGAGACCACAAGAAACGAGTGAATTTCACAGAGTGAATTTCTCCCACCACAGAAAGGAGAGTACCAGAAGAAGGGATTAAAAGGAAAGGCAGGCATCAAACTGTGGAGAATCCTGTGGGTCATTGTAAGGGATTTGGATTGGGAAGAAATCTAGTATTAACATTCACGTGATCATAGCCAGAAGTTTAGGAAACTGTATAAAGAGCTAATGTCAAAATGGGAAAACTCATAGAGCATATGTTAAAGTATATGCTAAAGATGGATAAAAATGCCTACATATTAAAAAATGTATAAAGTCGCCAAAGATGTATAAAATTACTATTTTTCTTGGTCTTGTATACAATAATCCCTAATAATTTTGCAAAACCAACAGAGTTTGAAATATACATCTCTTCCATGTCAGTCATTGGCCAATGGATGCATGCTTGATACATTGATGAATTTCCCTCTCCAACTATCATTTTAAGTTAAATTTGTAAATTACCTAAAACTCTTCTTGTTATATAGTCTTTTCCCAAATCATTGTTGTTATGTCTAAGATTACAGCTTCCCCTGTTCTGTACAGGTTGACTCACTTTCTGCAGATATGCTTTTGGAAGTCCTTTGCCCATTTTTGAAGTTTTTGTAGTAATCTTAATCAGCATCCTACTCATAAATCATCTCTTATGACTGGCTATTTTCTGCATTTGACCCCACAACTTTTAATAAAATGACTAGAAATACATGTTAATTGAGTCTTTGAAAGACATAGCCTTGAATTTAATAGTAACTCATTACTTGATTTAACAGCTTTTCATTCTTTTTCTTTTAAGTGAGCTTTACTTGTGGTGCATCCATCTTTTACTCAACATTCCGCAAACGCATCTGATGGCTGCCTTAGAAAATGAGCTCAACTGGCAAACTGTCTGTGCAATGATAATAAACACTGCTTGAGTATTAAATGGATCAGACCCTTCCATCCAGAGCTCCATCTTCGCATTTCTCACAGCCATCTCTGTTTGTAGCTAGGATAGGGCTCTTGTCGCATTACTGACTTGATCTCTTTGCCCTTTCAGTTCCATTTTTTAGCTGAATCTCAACATTTCTATGTTAAAAGCTTTTTGAAGCTTATAAGCCTTATCTTAAACCCTCAAAGCTCCAGAAGTAGTTCTTGGAACGTATCAGCTTATTTATCTATGACAGTGTTTGTCTTGGATGTAGGAAGACTAATGGTGTATGAATTAGCTATCATAATTTATGAAGGTATTTTATGAAATTGATAATTAAACATTTATATATGGAAATGAAGTGGAATTTTTCTGAGAAATAATTTTTAACTCGTATCTTTCCTGATCATTCTGCAGTGCAAATTTTTTACTTTTAAGAATGTGTTCGTTAGGCTCAATAAGAGTTTAAAACAGCTAACATGAGATAGACTATATTTAATGCCTGTCACCATTCTCTCTGTTCACTCCCATCCCACCTTTTAACAAAAACAGCTCCACGCTTACTTTTTGTGTGAAATCTTCCCAAGCTCCTCTATTCTCCCCTTTCCCAAACAATGCCATTGTGTGATTTCTGCCAACAGCCTCTACTTCACCAGTTAATATTTGAGTCAATGTTATCTTTTATTTTGTGTGTATGTGTGTGTGGTGCTTTTGCCTCCTCAATTGTCTTTTTAATTCCTTGAGGACCCTTTTTTTCACCATGCTTGGTTAATTCTGGTCCATTAAGCTAAATGAACTCATATCTGTGTATTTATATTAGTATAATTATAAATACCAATTATAGACTATTTAAGTTGGAAAGGATCATCTAACTCATTCTCACTTTAAAGAAAAAGTATATATCTTAAAGAAGGTAAATGATTTGTTCAAATTTAGTGGCATGGATTCTATTTAACTCCATTTGGGAACTATTTACACAATTTAGCATATAAGCAAACAGTGTTTTCTGTATACTTGCTGGAATATTATATTCGGTGGGGCCCTTGATATTTATACCAGGTGTTTAGTTGGGGGCTGGAGATATAGAGAAAATACAATGAAGAGAAGAAGACCTCTATGTGGAGAATTTCAACAAAGGACTACAATATTTTTTAAAACGATTAAGTTTATGGATCAAGATAATAGTGAGAATTGTTTCTTATTACCTGTGCACTACATGTTTGAATTTGAGGATTATCATTCATTTTAAAAGTAGCTACATTTTATATTCTTTTCATTTAATTTTATAATGATAATTACCCGAATTGGATCTTTTTTAAAAATCATCTATATTCTCTGCTACAAATAACCTAAATTGAATTCAAATTAGAAACATTTTTGTATGTTACAACATGTGACAGTCCTTTAGAGAGAGAGAATGATGATTTTACATATGATTTATAGGAGTTTTTGCAATTGCTTACAGGGTTGGATAGGGTTACATATGATGGAGAGTGGAAAACATTTGGAATTGCTTCTGGGGGCAAGCATGAGTCACCAAGAATTGAGTGAATTGATTGCTATACTGGCACAGGAGTGCAGCTGAGGTTAATTGGCAAGGATTCGCAGTCTGTGACTCTATCTTTGCTCAGCTGCCTTGGAACTAAAGGTGGTAGGTATAGTTGAAGGCTAAGGGAGTAAAGAATGCAAAGAGGTTAATGATACTGACATGAATTTGGGCTATCCCCATGCTAAAGAAATCCCAAAGTGGGTTGAGGGGCTAGAAATCAAGATCATGGGGGCAAGAAGGGATTTATTTATATTTTAAAAGTAGGAGCAAGGGACAGAAGGTCCCAGTCAGTGAAAGATTTCTCCAAGGTAGATTTGGGACTGGAAGATGTGTTGAGTTAACATGAGGCCTGAGGTGTGGCCATATCCCAGTGTGTGAGTGAAGTGGGACATGGAAGGTTATAGAGATGAGATGGACTTGAGAAGATCATCAGTCCCTAGAAGTGACAGATGATACTGTGTCTGATCAAGTAGAGTCAAAGGGGAGTGTACAGGCACATTGGGTTTCGTG